CCTTAACAATATAATCCCAAATACAATTAGATTACTAATTGTTATTATTTATTATTAATAACAATTTAAAGCTGACTACGCTCCGGAATAATTTAAAAATGTTATTGTAGACATTTTCGATATAGTCGGGATTACGCTGCGGAGTAATTTAGACATTTTCGATAGAGTCGGCATTTTGAGACAGTCGGGATTATGGTTGTCAGGATTTTAATATAGTCGGGATTATGGTTGTCGGGATTATGATAGTCGGGATTTTGATATAGTCGGGATTATGGTTGTCGAGATTTCGATACAGTCGGAATTTCAAACGTCGGGATTTCGGTTGTCGGGAATTTGATTGGAATACAGTCAGGATTTTGATATAGTTGGGATTTTGATATAGTCGGGATTTTCTTATAGTCAGGATTTTGATATAGTCGGGATTTGGATACAGTCGGGATTATGATACACAGTCAGGATTTTGATATAGTCGGGATTATAATACACAGTCGGGATTATGGTTGTCGAGAATTCGATACAATCGGCATTTCAAACGTCGGGATTTCGATACAGTCGGGATTTTGATATAGTCGTGGATTATGATACACAGTCAGGATTTTGATATAGTCGGGATTATAATACACAGTCGGGATTTTGATACAGTCGTGATTATAGTTGTCGAGATTTCGATTTCGATACAGTCGGCAATTCAAACGTCGGGATTTCAATAGACGGTCTTTCGGTTGTCGGGCTTGCGATTGCCACCGGTATCTGATCAACCCTTCATTTTATTTTATAAAGGCTTCATATTTAATTGACGATCAACCATAAGATATTTCTATAAATATAAATTGTTATTATGACCTAGTTTCAGTTACTCAAATATCTAGTGGTGAATCTTAGGAAAAAGATGATTTTATCAATGTTTTGAAAAACCGCCGATCGGAATATTTAAATAAATTTGATACATAATTAAATATTATGTATGGAAGGACAAAATCTAATAAAATATCATGTTTTGTGTGTTGCCTATAACTAACAAAAGTTCTTTTTTTAAACGCGACATTTGACGTTCAATTATAGCAATTCTCAGAATTCATATACACAATCATCACACACTTTCTCTATTCAAACTTCCTCCCAGTAACTGTCTCAGGCTAAAACCAAAAACTAAAATCCCATTCCCTCCAGCTAAACTAGTGCAGAATCTCGAATCTGATGTTCCCATTTTCAATGATCTTACTCAAAACATTAGCCCATTCTTTCTGTGATATTCCAATTTCTTTCTTACTTCTATTTCTTAATGTGTTTATATGTATCTATATGTCTCTAAATGTGTAAAAAAAAAATTAACTAGTATCTATAAAATGTGTATTAGGTGTCCTTTAAAATGTGTAATCTTAATGTTTTCTAAATCTCTTCCTGATTTCAAGAATGTTCTGTTTTTACTCTACAAATGTGCTTCTATCCTATAATGTAATACTTTCTTTTTTTATATACTTATCAAATCTCTTACCTTTAAACTGCATGCTGAAAGAGCTTAGGCTTGAGCAGTATGAATACTATGTAAAATTTAAACATGTAAACCACTTCATACATAAATAAAAACATTTGAAACAAATTATAGCAATTATGTAATAAGTGCATTAAGGAAATTGTATGAATAATTGAAGATTAATATTTTAGTAAATGTATTATTCACGTTCAATAATTAAGCGAAAACAATGGATTCGATCCATCCGATGTAAGAAGAGACTCTCGTGTAGACTGAGGGAATGCTTTGGGCACCGCATGGACTTGGCCCGTATGAGGTGATTCCAAAGATATCGTAAGTGGAGACATAATCCGGGTTGAGTCTCTGCAGAGGTCCGCCGCTATCGCCCTATATCAATACAAGTTATTATATCAAATCAAAATTTCCAAAATCTTGATGCTCTTACCGCGCAAGTGTCTTTCTTATCTCCGTACGCGCATATCTCCTTATCCGAATTAACTGGAAGACGCAGCCTCTTCGCGCAATCTTTACCATCGTATTCCTCCAACGTAATCTTCTTCAGTTTGCTAGTCTTACCGGTTTCCGTTTTACCCCATCCGGCCGCGATGAAACTTCCATCATCGATGTCCCTCTCAACATTCAAGCAAGCCGGACTCACGTTCTCGTTGAACTCGACACTTGATTCCAGCTCGATGAGACCGATGTTGTTGCTTGCCCTATTGTACTCAGGATGTTTGATTGTTCGTCTGATCTTTAACTCGATGCCTTCGTGTAGATCGACATCACCCAACTTGACGTATGTGGGAATAAAACTATCGAGAAAACGTAAATGAAAAATAGGTTTAAGCATTAGATTCTGAACTCACTCAGTCACACAACTTGCAGAAGTTAGAACGTATTTATTGGTAATTAAGCTGCCGCCGCATACAAACGTCATTCCTTCCGACTCATCATATCTTACAGCCACCTAAAAACAAGCAAATAAATTAATAAGTTAAAATGAAGCGCATTTAAAACAAACCATATGAGGAAATTCTTTTTGTTCTGCAAATTCGCCTCCGACGACTCTCCGAAAACGTCCTGACTTTAAGACATGAGCATCCCTGCAATCTGCAATTAAATTAAATAATGAGAAAACCTATGTTAAATAAAATGAAATAATTTTACATTTCTTGCTTTTCTCCCCAGGAGAAGCGTCCACCATCGAAGCTGCAACAGCAATTAACAACAGTAAAGAGTACTTGGACATTGTTGACCGTGCAAGAAAGAACTGTATCGAAGACTTTGCGGATCTCGCTTTTTAAATATTCCACTTAACAAAGATAAACGCGATTGTTCTAATTGACTTGAAATGACCTCTCATTAATAAAAATCTATATTTATAATATCGATATGATACGATAATACGCAACTATTTCCATGGAAAAAAACACATAATCCCGGCGAGTCCACCTCATCATAATAGTTAAATTTCGATTAAAAATTGAAAATAACAATATACATTTAAGTAGTAAGTTATATAATGGGTTGCGTTTAATTTGTCTACTTAAATTTGTAATGAGTCATAAATAACAGCTGTCATATTTGACGTAAGATGACAGCTGTCAAAAAGTTCTTGCTATTTCAACACATTGTTCTCTTCGCTGACTAAAAACAAGAGTAATTAATTATCACCCAATGTAATTAAATATTAATTTAAAAAAATAAACTTACGTTTCTGCTTTTGATGCCGACGTCTTCGGCGAGAGTTTGCGAGGAAACGTACAAGACGATGAGAACGATTGAAGAAACGAGCTTCGCCATTTCGTCTTAGCTGTCATCTTTGACGTAAGATGACAGCTGTCAAAAGAATTGTGTTATCAATAATTGGGTACAACTACAACCGGTTGAGAAACGCAGGTCTATGTTATACTATTAAGATCAATTGAATCTGTGGTGGTTGCAGATGTAGGGCCGTAATGAAAAGTATTAAGAAAAGCCTGTGATTACATGACAAATTTATAGTAAAAAAAAATAATATAAATAGTAACAATCCAAACTATTCTTTACTAAAAACAACTTTCTCCGTTGCCTTCGTAAAGTCTTGTATATGAAGTCATAAATGACAGCTGTCATCTTTGGCGTAAGATGACAGCTGTCAAAAGAATTGTGTTATAAATAATTGGGTACAACTACAACCGGTTGAGAAACGCAGGTCTATGTTATACTATTAAGATCAATTGAATATATTGTGGTTGCAGATGTAGGGCCGTAATGAAAAATATTAAGAAAAACCTGTGATTACATGACAAATTTATAGTAAAAAAAATAATATAAATAGTAACAATACAAAACTATTCTTTACTAAAAAACAACTTTCTCCGTTGCCTTTGTAAAGTCTTGTATATGAAGTCATAAATGACACCTGTCATTTTTGACGTAAGATGACAGCTGTCAAAAGAATTGTGTTATAAATAATTGGGTACAACTTCAACCGGTTGAGAAACGCAGGTCTATGTTATACTATTAAGATCAATTGAATTTGTGGTGGTTGCAGATGTAGGTAATGAAAATTATTAAAAACCTGTGATTACATGACAAATTTATAGTAAAAAAAATAATATAAATAGTAACAATACAAAACTATTCTTTACTAAAAACAACTTTTTCCGTTGCCTTCGTAAAGTCTTGTAATTGAACTTTAACTTTTTGAACTTCGTCCTCAAATTCAATTTTCCTTGTGGATGATCCAAATCGTGTAGACAAAGGTATATTTCCTTCACTTCTTTCATCTTCAACACTCTTCCAATTTAGGTTCATCTTTGATCTGAGATAAATTTTCTTTTCATTTTCTTCTTTCCTTTGATTTGCTTCTTTTATAACTATTGGATGAACAGGTGACTTTTACATATATTCAAATTGCTCACATTTAATCTACATCGTCTAGTGCAATTCATCCAGTCTTTACCAAAAGCCATCAACTATTAGAAAATAGTACCAATTATATATACATTAACAAAAAATATATTGTTTAAATTAGCGAAAGTAAACTTTAATTCTTCGATAGAACATATTTCATTTTCTGATATTTTCTTGACGTCATTTATTTTGCAAGAAATTTGACTAATTTATTTGCAATCGAAATATAAATTCAGTTTCTCGAAAACATGAACTTTTAACTTCTTCGCGACCCGAATTTCACTTTTCCAATGGTCTTCCAACTCACTTACCAACAAGTTACTACAATTCTCCACTCGCGTTACGTAACATATCCAAATGAAGCATCGACAAAAAGGATTCGAGTACTCATTAAATATAATTCAATTGTTTAATTTTTGGAGATTAAGGTTAAAAAAGTCGTAAAATGAATCTCAACAAAAGAAGGATTATCGCACACAAAAAAGAAAACATAAAAAAGATCGTAATACTTTTCCAATTGTCTTCGCTAACTTTCTAAAAACTTGATACAATTCCCTAAGATAAATACTTCTTAGCATTACGTTACTTATCTAAAAGAAGCATTGAAATAAGAGATTGGGGTTCTCATTAAAAGGAAGTCAATTGTTTAATTATTGGAGATTAAGGTTAAAAAAGTCGTAAAATGAATCTCAACAAAAAAATGATTATTGCACACAAAAAAGAAAACAATAAAAAGATCGTAATCATTTTCCAATGGTCTTCGCTTACTTACCAAAAACTTGATATAATTCCCCAAGATAAACACTTCTTCGCATTACGTAACTTATCCAAAAGAAGCATTGAAAAAAGAGATTGGGGTTCTCATTAAAAGGAAGTCAATTGTTTAATTATTGGAGATTAAGGTTAAAAAAGACGTAAAATGAATCTCAACTAAAAAAGGATTATCGCACAAAAAAAAAGAAAACATAAGAAAGATCGTAATACTTTTCCAATTGTCTTCGCTCACTTACTAAAAACTTGATACAATTCCCAAAGATAAACACTTATTCGCATTACATAACTTATCCAAAAGAAACATTGAAATAAGAGATTGGGTTCTCATTAAGAGGAAGTCAATTGTTTAATTATTGGTAAAAAAAAGTCGTAAAATGAATCTCTACAAAAAAAGGATTATCGCACAAAAAATAATTTGCTTTATTAATTTGTATAATTTTGAAAATATTAAAGACTTTCTAATAAGAAAACCCATATACTTTATTCAATCCATTAATAAATGAGAATTTGTACATAGTTTTTTCTTAATTGATCAGATTATTTATTGAAGTGTAGCATTGATTTCTCACTTGCTAATGAATATATTAGTGAGAGTAGCTGTAAATCTTCGCCAAGAAGATTTCCAAAACAATCTTCTCAATTTTTTTTTGTGTCTACATTAAAACGAGCAAGGTCAAGGAACTGTGTCACGTCATTAATAATTAATAAGTCAACAGTGAACGCGGATGAATATTACCGCAAAACACATCATCAACACACAAACTAACAAAACAATTTGATTTCGAATTAGCATTGCTGATTCGCTCTCCGATTTCAGTATAAATACCGGCGATCGTTTTCTGTTACAAACTAGTTCACAGCTAAGACGAAATGGCGAAGATCGTGTCTTCAATCGTTCTCATCGTCTTGTACGTTTCCTCTCAAACTCTCGCCGAAGACGTCGGCGTCAAAAGCAGAAAACGTAAGTTTATTTTTTTAAATTAATATTTAATTACATTGTGTATTAATTAATTACTCTTGTTTTTAGTCTGCGAAGAGCACAATGTGTTGAAATCGCCAAGAACTCGTCGCGTGGTTGGAGGATCAGATTCCGAATTGAAGGAGTTTCCTCATATGGTAAAGATGTTTTCTTAATCTTGTATAGGATGTGTTATAATTTAGTGTTTGCAGGTAGCGTTAGCGCACAGAAGCGATAACAAACTAGAATTCTTCTGCGCTGGAACTTTGATCTCCGACAAATACGTCTTGACTTCGCCCATTTGTTTCAAGTAATTATTCTTAGCTCTGATCAAGTGTGTGTTAACTAATAATTAAATTTTATTTTAGACGTGGTGTAGATGTTGCTAGATTCGGCTCCAACGATTTGCAGAGCGAAGAGGGAGTGCAAGAGATCGAAGTGGAGAGAGTAATCGCCCATCCGAAATACAATGATTCCATCAACGATATCGGTCTGGTGGAGCTGAAGAGTGCGGTGAAATTCACCGATTTTGTTAAACCCGCTTGTCTGAACACCGAGAAGCTGTCGGCATCCGAAAGAACTTACCTCATCACCGGCTGGGGTGATCACCACAAGGTGGGAACGAAGCTGCAGAAGGCTGAAGTCAAAGAGGTCGAATTCGATAAATGCGTGGAAGCGTACAAAACCAAGTTGGATATCGTCGACGAGGATCACATTTGCGCCAGAGAGGATGGCGTCGACACATGCATCGTACGTCTTTTCATACGCAATTTGTATGAATTAATATTAATTTTGTATCGATTTTCAGGGAGATTCCGGCGCTCCACTGCAGATGAAGAACCCCGATTACGTTTCCGCTTACGATGTTCACGGTGTTACATCATACGGACCGGTGCCGTGTGGAAAGAGTTCGAAGCCATCCACCTACACCAGAGTTTCCAATCACATCGCCTGGATCGAATCGATCATCTTCTAATCACTTAAGATATTTGAATAGGTTTATTTATTTTTATTATTTTTTCGATTACTTTTATACCTGAATAAAAACAAGTGTGCTTGGAAAACAAAACTACCGAATTCGTTCAATAATGATCCCAATTAAGCTCCAAAATCACTAGTTACCATAGGTGTGTGGATTTTGACAATTCTGTTCATTTTGCTTTAGTTGCTCCAGTTTCATTAGCTGTTGTCAGTAAACATCTGAATTGATCATTTCGTTCCTTGGATACAGCTCAAAATACACATTTGATGCAGCTCAGTTTTTCAATTGTTTTAAACCAATCATCATATACTTCACATATCTCTTTATGAACCTCAGCAGCTTTCTTACCTTACCTATTGAAATTGACGCAAAAATGACATCTAATTTACTTAAAAATGACATTTATCAAATTGATAATTATATTAATTTAATGCTTAAAGAACTTTTTTTACATTCAATGATGATTATTATTCATATTATATTATTGCAAAAATATGTCTAAATATCATATAAATCACAATAATAATGATACAAGTGAAGAAACCAATTCGATTAATTTTTGAAAACAACTAATTTGCATGTAAATACGGGCTGAACAGGTATTTAAAGAGAGATGCATGAGCTTCTTCGATACAGTTTACCTTCATCCACGTAACGAGAATGTTGAAGTTTACCTTGCTGGTGTTCATCGCCGTTTCGGCTCTGGCGTTTGCAAATTCTTTACCCGGAGAGAAGAGTAAAAAATGTAAGTTTTTGAATTACAATTTGAATTTTGCATTAATTTTTGCTTATTTTTCTTCAGATTGTAGAGAAACGCACGTCGCAAAATCCGGACGTGTAAGAAGGATCATCGGTGGAGAGATTGCCGCCCCGAATGAGTTTCCTCACACGGTAATTAACTAAATGTATCTTAGGCGTTGATCATTGTTGTTGTTTCTTTGTTTCAACAGGTTGCTTTAATCTATATCGAGAATGGAAAGAGGGTGTGGAATTGCGCTGGAATCTTAATTACCGATAAATATGTGCTGACTGGAGCTACTTGCATCGACATGTAAGTCTTGAATTAGAAGACTTAATCGATCTACAAAGTTACAGTTGTTTTTTTTTCAAGGTATATTCCCAAATACGCGAGATTGGGTGAGATTGTGAAAACGGATTTAGAATCTGATGATTCGAACTTCTTGCTGGTGAATATCAGTAGGGTCATCAAGCATCCAAAATTCGATGAGAATAAAATTCTGAACGACATCGGTCTCATCGAGCTCGAATCCAAGGTCAAGTTCAACGACTACATCAAACCTGCATGTCTGAACACGGAGAATGCAAAACCGGAGGCGGACAGTTTCATTGCGACTGGCTGGGGTAAAACCGAACACGTCTCGAAATCATCATCTCTTTTGAAAGTCACATTGGACGAGATCGTCAGTGCAGAGTGCGCTAAAATTTACAAAAACAAGGTCAAAATCGACGTGGAAAAGCATATCTGCACAAAATCTGAGAAAAAGGATACTTGCTTGGTGAGTTATTATATTTATTGCTATTGTCAGTTCGATTGTAATGATTTAATTTCGTAGGGCGATTCCGGTGGACCTCTGCAGAAACTCAATCCCAATTATATTTCCACTTACGATATCTATGGAATCATATCGTTTGGAGCAGTTAAATGCGGCTCCGGTTTTCCATCCGTCTCCACCAGAGTCTCTTACTACATCGACTGGATCGAATCTATTGTTTTCGCAAACGATGCTAAGAAATAAACATCATTTCTATATGTAATCTTAAGTGAAGCGAACTTCTGTCGTATTTACACAAATAAACATTATCATTCACGAAACAGTTTTGTAAAAATTTGTGAGTTGTTATGCGAGAATAAAAAGTGGCTAAAGAAATTTAACTATTGATAACCTGTTGAACGGAAATTCCTGCAAATAAATCGTATCGCATTAAAAATGATGAATACTTGTAAACAAGCTAATGAATGTAATCACGAGTTTACGCAGTATTTAAAAGCGAATTGCACGAACACTCTTCAAGTCAGTTTACCTTCATCAAGCAAACGAGGAATGTCGAAGTTTACGTTGTTGATGTTTATCGCCGCTTCGGCTCTGGCGTTAGCAGCAAACGCGTCGCCCGGGGACAAAAGTAAAAAATGTAAGTTTTCCCATTTAATAATAAGTATGAATGTTGCATTCTTTGGCTTTTTGATTAAGATTGTAGTGAAACGCACGTCGGGAAAAGCGGACGCATAAAGAGGATCATCGGTGGAATAATAGCCGACGACAAAGAATTTTCTCACGCAGTAAATAACGTTTATTTTCGATTAAATTTGTTTTTATTTCATTATTTCCTATTGTTTTAGGTTGCTTTAAGCTACGAAGTTAAAGGAAATTATAAATTCTTATGCGCTGGAAGCTTAATTAGCGATAAATATGTTCTGACTGCAGCTACTTGCATCAACACGTACGTAATATTGACTAAGACTTAATCGATCTAAACTTGTGTGTTTACTTTTCAAGAAAAATACCTGTATCTGTGAGATTGGGTGATCTAAACTTGGAATCGGATTCAGACGATGCGAATGCTGTTGATGTGAAGATTGCCAGAGTCTTGAAGCATCCAGATTATGATGGAAGTAAAGTTCAGAACGACATCGGTCTCATCGAGCTCGAATCCAAGATCGAGTTCAACGATAATATCAGACCCGCATGTTTGAACACGGAAAAAAGTTCAACAGATGCGGACAGTTTTATTGCAATTGGATGGGGACAAACTGAAATTGGCGCGGTATCACCTAGTCTTATGAAGGTCACATTAAACGAGATTGCCAGTGCAGAGTGCATCAAGACTTACAAATCTAGAAATATTACAATCAACGGCGAATCGCAGATCTGCACAAATTCCAAGACTAAGGACACTTGCAGGGTGAGTTATTACATTAATTATTCAATTTGCCTGTAATGATTCAATTTTGTAGGGTGATTCCGGCGGAGCTCTGCAGAAACTCAATCCCGATTTCAGTTCCGCTTACGATATCTATGGAATCACTTCATTTGGATCAAGGAACTGCGCGAGCGGTTTTCCATCCGTCTTCACCAGAGTCTCTTACTACATCGACTGGATCGAATCTATTGTTTTCGCAAGCGATGCTAAGAAATAAACATCATTTCTATATGTAATCATATGTGAAGCAAACTTCTGTCGTATTTACGCAAATAAACATTATCATGGGACAATTCACGAAGCAGATTTTTAAACATTTGTAAGCTATTATGCGAGAATAAACAGTATATTTATTCGGTGACTAAAGAAATTTAACTATTGATAACCTGTTGAACGGAAATTCCTGCAAATAAATCGTATCGCATTAAAAATGATGAATATTTGTAAACAAGCTAATGAATATAATCACAAGTTTACGCAGTATCTAAAAGCGAATTGCACAAACACTCTTCAAGTCAGTTTACCTTCATCAAGCAAACGAGGAATGTCGAAGTTTACGTTGTTGATTTTTATCGCCGTTTCGGTTCTGGCGTCAACAGCAAACGCGTCGGCCGGGGACAAAAGCAAAAAATGTGAGTTTTCCCATTTAATAATTAGTATAAATGTTGCATTTTTTTGATTAAGATTGTAGTGAAACGCACGTCGGGAAAAGCGGACGCATAAAGAGGATCATCGGTGGAACAATAGCCGAAGACGAAGAATTTTCTCACGCAGTAAATAACGTTTATTTTCGATTAAATTAGTTTTTATTTCATTATTTTCCGTTGCTTTAGGTTGCTTTAAGCTACGACGTTAATGGAAATAAGAAATTCTTATGCGCTGGAAGCTTAATTAGCGATAAATATGTTCTGACTGCAGCTACATGCATCAACACGTACGTAATATTGACTAAGTTTTAATCGATCTAAACTTGTGTGTTTATTTTTTCAAGAAAAATACCTGTATCTGTGAGATTGGGTGATCTAAACTTGGAATCGGATTCAGACGATGCGAACGCTGTTGATGTGAAGATTGCCAGAGTCTTGAAGCATCCAGATTACGATGGAAGTAAAGTTCAGAACGACATCGGTCTCATCGAGCTCGAATCCAAGATCGAGTTCAACGATAACATCAGACCCGCATGTTTGAACACGGAAAAAAGTTCAACAGATGCGGACAGTTTTATTGCAATTGGATGGGGACAAACTGAAATTGGCGCAGTATCACCTAGTCTTATGAAGGTTACATTAAACGAGATTGCCAGTGCAGAGTGCATCAAGACTTACAAATATAGAAATATTACAATCAACGGCGAATCGCAGATCTGTACAAATTCCAAGACTAAGGACACTTGCAGGGTGAGTTATTACATTAATTATTCAATTTGCCTGTAATGATTCAATTTTGTAGGGTGATTCCGGCGGAGCTCTGCAGAAACTCAATCCCGATTTCAGTTCCGCTTACGATATCTATGGAATCACTTCGTTTGGATCAAGGAACTGCGCGAGCGGTTTTCCATCCGTCTTCACCAGAGTCTCTTATTACATCGACTGGATCGAATCTATTGTTTTCGTTAATTGAACCAACACAAACGATATTATAAAATAAATAAATATACAAATCTTAATAATAAACTTTTCTATTTGAAATATAACATTTATCTGTGTCATTTCGTGTTATATAACAGTGGTTTCCAAACTTGATGTTACTACGCCTCCCTCGAAAGTATGTAATCATTTGGCGCCTCCCCTCCCCCCTCCATTTCGTAAAAGACATAAAACTTTAGCAGATATTTGGAAAATTGCTGTCTGCTACTAATATTCTCGCCTCTCCTTAGACTAGTCCCCACAGTTTGGAAAACGCTGTTATATAAGATGATGTGTGTTGCCTAAATTAGGAAGAATGTTGTTAACATTTAAAAATTGTTAATTCTTTGGTAAAGCACGGACTCGAAATAACGCAGTCTTTGTTTATCCGCGAAACATGCATAAACTCGTCATCTTGTTGTTAATTGCTGCTACAGTGATGGCGAATCCAGGCAACAAAAGCAGAAAATGTGAGTGTTATAAATTTATTTGCGTTAACAAAATGATTAAAAATTTAATTTTATATTAGATTGCCATGAGACGCACTTGGCGAAATCGGGACGGATTAGAAGGATAATCGGTGGAGAAAACGCGTTTCCCAAGGAATTTCCGCATATTGTATGAACCTAAAACCAATTTGTAGAAAAGTACTAATGAATGAATATAATAGATTTAGTTTAAATGAAAATACAACTAAAAATGAATTGAGTGTTTATTTTTTAATTAGGTTGCCATAGGATACGACGAGTGGAACGGGAAGTTGTGGCTGTGCGCTGGGAGTCTAATTACCGATAAATTCATCTTAACTGCATCTACTTGCGTCGATACGTAAATCGTAGAATAATCTATAACTAATTTAATCTAATTTTATAATTGTTTTCAGCAAGACGCCCAAGTACATAAGATTCGGAGATTTGGACTTGGAGTCGAGTACCGATGATGGTAATGCTTTGGAGATGATGGTGGCAAGGACTTACAAACATCCGGAATATGATGGTAGAGTTAAAAGCGATGTAGCTCTAATCGAACTCGAATCCAAAGTGGAATTCAACGATTACATCAGACCGGCTTGTCTGAACGTGCAGTATTCTGAAGAGGTGGAAAGGGCTTTAGTGGCTTTGGGTTGGGGACAATCCGAAGTTGTCACGCGTTCTCCAGTTCGCAACGATCGATTACGGAAAATCACTCTCGATGAACAACCGAATTCCGAGTGTCAGAAGCATTATAGATTTCCTATTGATCCAAGTCGCTTCATATGCACTATAGGCAAAAATAAGGATACTTGTGTAGTATGTCATAACATTATTTTGTATAATATATTATTTTTGATGATTCGAATTTGCAGGGAGACGCAGGAGGACCGTTGCAGAAGTTGAACAGCAATTACCATTCGACGTACGATATCTTCGGAATTACGTCTTTCGGACGTAGCGTTTGCGCTACGAGTGAACCGTCCGTTGCCACCAGAGTGTCCTACCACATCGAATGGATCGAATCCATTGTCTTTGCATAATTTTCTGCAATTTCTTCTTAGTTTGCAAAATTCCTTTGAGAATTTTTAAATAGATTTAATCAGTTTCGGTCCACTGACTTATCATTATCATTTGCACAACAAGAGTGCAAAGTGTATCACATCTTGGACTCATTTTCAATATTGTTCTGCATATTGTTTTTTTTTCTTATAACATAAAAATAATTCAATAAATAAGTAAACAAAAATTCTTTTGAATTGCTATTATAAATATGTTAGTTTTCTTGGTGTTAATATCATAGATTTGGAGATTTAACAATATTTTACAGAAAAATAAAAGATTAATTGTGTATACTTAATGTAGTAATTGATTGCTTAAACGTAAAGTTTGAATAAAAAAATATAATGATTAATAAACAAATTAAACAAGACAATAAATTGTCATTGAAACAAGTCGTGTAATAAACAAATATTGTTATTGGTAAACTATTAATAGTTGCATTTCTTAGGTGTTAAATCACAGCCTTCCGAGTGTTTTTGTCGGTGGAAAATAAATAAAAGAATATAACGAAACGTTGCATTAATTCGTTCATAAATAATTATGTAAATTATCTTCGCGTGTTCTTAGCAATGTAAACAAGTCTAGGAATAAACAAAGATTGTGACGTATCTCTCAAATTACATGTAAACTCCTAATAATTGTTAAATCATGGCCTTCCAAGTTTTTATCATTCGTGGGAACTGAATAAAAGAAGACGGTGGATCGATAACAATACAAAATATTAAAAGATCAAGTTTTCAGTAATTTATCGGTGGACTTTCGTTTCTTAGAGATTACCAAGGTTTTTAAAAGGCAGTCAACAACGAAAAGAACCAGTTTCAGTTTGCAAGTCGCAGCAGAAACATGTCTGTCCGTTCCGTGCTGTTCGTAACTTTGGTTTTGGGTGTTTTTGCAAACGCAACACCTGGAGAGAAAAGCAGAAAATGTTTGTTTTGTTTTTTAAATTTGTTATTGCAATGTTATAATTTCATTTATTTGTAGATTGTGATGAAACTCACGTGAAAGCGACTGGAAGAGTTCGCAGGATTGTCGGTGGTATTGAAGCAGCTGAAAATGAATTTCCGCACATGGTATAAGGTTTTAATCTTTGTAATAACATTAAATTAAAAAGCTATTGTTTTTTTTAGGTTTCTTTGGGTTACGAGGAAAAAAATGACATTTTGTGGCAATGCGCCGGATCCTTGATTAGCGACAAATACATTTTGACTGCGGGGACTTGCATATCTAGGTACGATGATATAATGAAATTGTTCAATGTATTACGTTCAATGTTTTAGAATTAATCCGAAGTTCGCTAAATTAGGTACGGTGGATTTGCACAGCAAATCTGAACCGCTGAAGATTGCCAGAGTTATCAAATATCCTGCCTTCAAACCTCCATCTTCGTACGATAACATCGGTTTGATAGAACTCGAGAAGCCTGTCGAGTTTAGCGATTCCATTAGACCCGCTTGCCTCAACACCGAAGATTCAGATGTAAAGCACACGTTCACCGCAACGGGATGGGGTTTGACCAGTTTCAATGGAAATCCAAGTTCTAAACTTTTGAAAGTC